CCAAACCTCTCTTTAGATCATACCACTTTGGGGGAACTGAAAACTTACAGATTTCCCAGAACTAGCTTTGAAAATAACAACAGAAAAAACCCTGAAGTTTGGGACAGCTCCCCCTCCACCCCAGGAGCAGAATCCAAGTTTAACATTAAGTTAAAAATCAAGAAATAGACTGGAAAATGAGCAAACAACAACAAAAATAACCTGATTATAGAAACTAACTATGGTGACAGGGAAGAACAAAATAGAAACTCAGAAGAAAACAACAATGTCAAAACAGCTACATGTAAAGCCTCAAAGAAAAATGCAAATTGGTCTCAGGCCCCCTCCCCCAAAAACATGAATTCCTGGAGGAGTTCCCAGATCAAGGAGGAAATATTGCAAGCAACCACAAAGAAACTATTCAAATACCATGGAGCCACAGTCAGGATAGCACAAGATTTAGCAGTTTCTACATTAAAGGATCAGAGGGCTTGGAATATGATATTCCAGAGGGCAAAGGAACTAGGATTATAACCAAGAATCACCTACCCAGCAAAACTGAGCATAATCCTTCAGGGGAAAAAATGGATATTCAATGAACTAGAGGACTTGTAAGCATTCATGATGAAAAGACCAGAGTTGAATAGAAAATCCTTTTTTTTTAAATGACTTTATTTCTAATATAAATTTATTTATTTTTAGTTTTCAACATTCACTTCCACAAGTTTTTGAGTTCCAAATTTTTGCCCCATCTCCCCCCTTCCCCCACCCCAAGTTGACATGCATTCAGAATACCCCTTCCCCTAGTCTGTCCTCTCTTCTATCTCTCCCTCCCCTTCTCTTATCCCCTTCCCCTTCTATTTTCCTGTAGAGCAGGATAGAATTCTGTACCCCATTTCCTGTATTTCTTATTTCCCAGTTGTATGTGAAAACTTTTTTTTAACACATGTGATTTTAAAACTTTTGAGTTCCAAATTTTCTCCCTTCCTCCCTCCCCACCCACCCTCATTGAAAAGGCACGCAACTCAATATAGGTTACACATGTGCAGTTATGCAAAACACTTCCATAATAGACATGTTGTGAAAAACTAACTCTATTTCCCTTAATCCTATCCTGCCCTCCCATTTATTCTTTCTTTTAACCCTGTCCCTCCTCAGAAGTATTTACTTCTGATTACACTCTTTCCCAATCTGCCCTCCTCTCTATCATCCCCCTGCTCTCTTGTCCCCTTCTCCCCCTATTTTCCTGTAGGGTAAGACAGATTTCCATACCCAATTGAATGTGTATGTTATTCCCTCCTTAAGCCAAATCCTATGAGAATAAGATTTCCTCATTCCCTCTCACCTTCCCCCATTTCCCCTCCACTGTGAGAGACTTTTCTTTTCTGTTTTTCTTTTTTGTGAGATAATTTATCCCCTTCTACCTCTCCCTTTCTTCTTCTCCGAGTATCATCCTCTCTCATCTCTTAATTTTATTCTCTGGATATGACCCCTTAATCTTCAACTCACCCTGTATCCTCTATCTATCTATCTATATATACATACATACAATTTTTTTCCTTCAACTACCCTAATACTGACAAAGGTCTCATGAGTTACAAATATCACCTTTCTATGCAGGAATGTAAACAGTTCAATCTTAATAAGTCTCTTATGATTTCTCTTTCCTGTTTACCTCTTCATGTTCCACTGGAGTCCTATATTTGAAAGTCAAATTTTCTATTCAGCTCTGGTCTTTTCATCATGAGTGCTTGAAAGTCCTCTATTTCACTGAATGACTGTTTTTTCCCCTGAAGGATTATATTCAGTTTTGCTGGGTAGGTGATTCTTGGTTGTAATCCTATCTCCTTTGCCCTCCGGAATAGTATATTCCTGCCCTGCGGTCCTTTTATGTAGAAGCTGCTAAATCTTGTGTTATCCTGAGTGTGTTTCCACAGTACTTGAATTGTTTCCTTCTGGCAGCTTGTAATATTTTCTCCTTGACCTGGGAACTCTGGAATTTGGCTAGAATATTCCTAGGAGTTTTCCTTTGGGGATCTCTTTTCAGGAGGAGATCAGTGGATTCTTTCAATTTCTATTTTGCCCTCTGGTTCTAATATATCAGGGCAGTTTTCCTTGATAATTTCTTGAAAGATGATGTCTAGGCTCTTTTTTTGATCATGGCTTTCAGATAGTCCAATAATTTTTAAATTCTCTCTCCTGGATCTATTTTCCAGGTCAGTTGTTTTTCCAATGAGATATTTCACATTGTTTCTAATTTTTCATTCTTTTGGATTTGTTTCAGTGTCTGATTTCTCATAAAGTCACTGTTTCCAATTGCTCTATTCTAATTTTTAAGGAAGTATTTTCTAATCTATTTTGGACTTCCTTTTCCATTTGGCCAATTTTGCTTTTTAGGGCATTTTTCTCCTCATTGGCTTTTTGGACCTCTTTTGCCATTTGGGTAGGCTATTTTTTAAGGTGTTATTTTCTTCAGTATTTTTTTGGCTCTTTAGCAAGCTTTGACTTGTTTTTCATGATTTTCTTGCATCACTCTCATTTCTCTTCCCAGTTTTTCCTCTACTTCCCTTACTTGCTTCTCAAAATCGTTTTTGAGCTCTTCCAAGGCCTGGGACTGATTCATATTTTTCTTGGAGGCTTTGGATGTAGGAGCTCTGACTTTGTTGTCTTCTTCTGGTTGTATATTTTGATCTTCTTTGTCACCAAAGTAAGATAATATTTGTCTGACTCTTTTTGCACTGCTTGCTCATGATCCCAGCTAATTACTTGAGTTTTAAACTCTTTGTTAAGGTAAGAGTCTGCTTCCAATGTGGAGAGTGTACTGTCCCAAGCTTCAGGGGTTTGTATAGCTATTTTCAGAGATACTTGAAGGGACCTGTAAATTTTCAGTTTTTCCAAGGTGGTATGATAAGGGATGAGGTGTTTACTCCTTTCCTGGCCTGTGACTACAAGTACTCCTTTCTGTCCTGTAACTGTGAGGGGTTCCTCTTCACAGCCACTACAAGCTCCACCACGTCAGTGCTCCTCCTCACCCCAGCACTGTCGCCCAGAACTGTGACCCAGATCCAAACATGGGCAAAGCAAGAGATTCCTGCCTCAGCACTGGCAAAGAGATCCCTGCAATCCCTCTCTGATCAGCCACTGGATTCCCCCTCAGTCTGTGGGCCAGAAGCTCAGGAAGCAGCTGCCCCCAACCAGGGCCACACTCTTGGGGAATGGAGCTGAAACCCCACCTTCCTCTCTGAGCACCAACAGAAACAGACTTTTCCCACTGACCTTTTAAGTTGTCTTTGGCATTGGTGGATTGAGGAGTCTGGAAACCTCCACAGCTGCCAGCAATTCAGTCCTCTGAGGCCTGCTCCAGGTTCACTGTGCCCTGCACTGCACTGTGCTCCCAGCTCGGTGCAATACACCTTTCTGATCAATCATCCAGGTTGTCTTGGGCTGGAAATTTGTTTCACTCTGTCTTTTTGTGGGTTCTGATGCTTCAGAATTTGTTTAGAGCCAATTTTTATGAGTATTTGGAGGGGTTTGGGGGGAGACCTCAAGCAAGTCACTGCTTTCACTCCACCATCTTGACTCTGCCCTGAATAGAAAATCTGACTTTCAAATATAAGATTCAAGAGAAGCATAAAAAAGTAAACAGGAAAGAGAAATCATAATGGATTCAATAAGGTTGAACTGTTTCTGTTCCAATATGGAAAGATTATACTTGTAACTCTTAAGAACTTTATCATAATTAAGGCAGTTAGAAAGAGTATACATAGACAGAGGGCAGGTGTAAATTGAATATGATAGGATGATATCTAAAAAAATAAAATTAAGGGGTGAGAAAGAGGAATGTACAGGAGAAGGGGAAAAAAGATAGAATGGGGTAAATTATCTGACATAAAAGAGGCACAAAAGAGCTTTTACAATGAAGGGGAAACAGGAATAGGGATGGGGGGAGATAGGAAACACTTGAACCTTACTCTCATTGGAATTGGCTCAAAGAAGGAATAACATACACATTCAGCTGAGTATAGAAATATGTCTTACCCTACAGGGAAGTAGGAGGGGAGGCAGGTAAGAGAAGGGAAAGGGGAGCTAATAAAAACACAGACTGGAGGAGGCAGTGGTCAAAGCAAAAAACCAAATGCCCTCTTAGACTATATTAAGAGAACCTTAGTGCCTAGGGCTAGGGAGGTAACAGTCCCATTGTACTCCTGTCAGGGGCAGAACACAAAGTACTGTTTTCTATTCTAAGCTCAACACTGGTTAGTTAGAGAGTATACAGAGGAGAGTAACAAGGATTGATTGAAGGAAATACAGATGTTTTGATTGAAAAAGATAAGACTTAGTGAAAATATAACCGCTGTCTTAATGTGTGTGAAGCACCATCAAATGGAATACTTGTTCCTCGTCCCAGGGGGCAGAGCTAGGAAAAATGAATGGAAATCAAATCTATTCAACAGTCTCCCAAATCTGTAAGGAGTCTTTGCCTCCCGGGAGAAGAAAAGTCAGCTCCAGAAGTCCTATTACAAAAGGAAACCATTTCAACAATCTGAACTACCCTAAAATGGAATGGACTACCTGTGAGGGTAATGGGTTCTGAAGTCATTTATCAGGGATGTCATCGAGAAGATTCCAGGTCAGGTACAAGTTAGGCAATACAGAGTCTCAGATCCCTTCCAACTCTGAGATAATGGGACCATGATTTTGTGAATCTTATTTAATAGCTAATTAAAAATATATGCCTAATTCCCCTCTTCCTGTAAGAGAGGTGGTGGTACCAAATGAGATATGACATATTTTTTGGACTTAGCCAATATAGGAAGTTATTATGGCTGACTATGCATATTTGTTACATGTTTTTCTTTCTTTTACAGTGGGGTTAGTGAGGGGAAAGGATGAAACAGTGGGTTTTTAATAACTGAAAAAATGTAGATAAAATTAAACATGCATGTACATGTGTGTATATATACACACAGACACACACACACATATACATACATGTATATATATACCTAAGGTTAAGTTACCTCAAGGTCATCAAGTGAGCGAGTAATACTAAATCTCTTGGATCTTCCAAATGATCTCCGAGTAGAGGTACGCTGTGGAGTATGACCCAAACCAATTCCAAGTCCAAACTTTGACCCCTAAAAAGCAAAAGAGAAAAGGGTTTTAGTTATTCTCTAAGGATTTAGAATTTCAGTTTCATCATAGAGGCAGAATTCAAGAAGAACAAGAGGAAAACAACTAAGTAGCTCTTCTATAAAGGAATGAGAATAAAACCCTGCCCAATATTAGTGGAGAGAAGAAAGTACCTGAATCCACAGTGCCTGCCAGGGAGGGAGCACCCACACTCCTGACATCATAACAAGTTATCAGGTTAGAGTTCCATTACAGTGGTGCGGGTTTTCAAGAGCTTTGTAAATGTCACCAAAAGTTAAGGAAATCACCTTAAGATCAGAACTAAAATTTGAATCTCAAACCATCTCAGATGCATACAAATAACCACTACTTCCGACATTTCTTCGTTCTTCTCAGTGAAATTTCCATAATTTATTATTTGGAAATTTAGAAGAATAATTCAGGAAACCCAAAGCCAAACTCCTCTCATCCTAAAGGGAAAACAAGGCACAGAAATGTCTGCTTATCTTCAAAGGCAGCTTTATCACCTTTTATCAAAAAATAGTCACAGCTTTCTTTCCAAATGCCCCAGCTCAAATTTCTCTTCTCTGCCTGCTGCACTCATTCGACTTGGGTCTCTTTGCTTGCCCTTACTTCATTCCTGATAGGGAGTTGTATATGATGTGTTCTTCAAGCTGCTTAACCAATAACTTAGTAATGCTCTTATAGAATACCTCCCATGATGTTTGACAGCTGAGAACCAAATTCATTCTCAGACATAAGAGAAGAGCTGTCTGACATGATCTCCCAGCTACAAGTTTCTTCACTGCCCCAAATTCTCTTGTACTTAAGGTGTGCATATTTTGCATACTGTTATTCATGTGCATGTTGTCTCTTCTAGTAGAATGTAAACTCTTTGACGTCAGAGATTGTTTCATCTTTGTCTTACTTAGAACATAGTACCTAGAACACATTGTTCAGTCATTTTCAGTCGTGCTCAACTCTTTGTGATCCCATTTGGGGTTTTCTTGGCAAAGATACTGAACTAATTTGCCATTTCCTTCTCCAGCTCATTTTACACATGAAGAAATTGAGGTAAACAGGGTTAAATAATTTGCCCAGGGTCACGTAGCTAGTAAGTATCTGAGGCCAGATTTGAACTCATGAAGAAGAACCTTCCTGACTCCAGGCCTGGCACTCTATCTACTGCACCACCTGGCTGCTCCTGCCTAGAACATAAGAGGTGCTTAGTAAATGCTTACTGAGTGAGTAATTAAAGTGAAATAAGTTTGGAAAGGTAGTTTGAAGCCAAATTTTGAAGGGCTTGAAGTGTCAAGTGGAGAAATTTTTATTTTATCTCATAGACAACAGGGAACCACTGAAGCTTTTAGAACAGGAGAGTGATATGGCCAAAGCTGTGCTTTAGGAATATCCATTTTGGTCACTGTGGGAAAGGTGGACTGGTGAGGGAAGAGGCTAGAGACCACGAGACCCATTAAGAGACTACTGCAATAGTTTAGTTGAAATTTGTTGAGGGTATGAGCTATGCTGACAGCTTTGTGAGCAAATGTAAGTCAGAACAATAAGACTTGGCAATTGATTGGCTATGGGTGGTGAGAGAAGAGTCAAGGATAACTCCTAGGGTTCAAATCTAACTGACCAAAAAGATGGTAGTGACCTCATTAGAAATGGGGCAATTTAGAAGACAGGTAGGTTGAACGGGAAAGACAATGGTTCCTGTTTTGGACTTGATGAGTGTGAGATCCCTGCAAGATATCCAGGTGAACCTGTCCAACAAACAGTTAACAAACAATATGGGACCTAGAATTCAGGAGAGAGATAAAGGCTGGATATGTAGATTTAGGAGTCATGTGCATAGAGGAAGGATCACGGAAGAAGCTTAAGAACTAATAAGATCACCAAGAAAGTACATAGGGGCTAAATTGCTCCCAAGCTTCCAATTAGACTTCAGGTATAATGATACCTCTGCTACTCCTGACTTTCTGATAGAACCTGCTTAAGTGATTGCAGCAAGAAGGCAAATGGTTCTAGAGGGAAAAGCAGGCCTTAGAGATCGTGTTTCCCAGGTAAAACTGCATGTTCTTTTTGTACAGCATTCATCACAAAGCTACAAGTAAGCTCTCTTAAAAATACTTTGGGGCCATTCATTCATTCACTTAGATATCTGCATGGGCAAGGCACCATACTAAATACAAATAATAAAGGAGCACCTCCCCTCAATAGAAAACAGTAGAGAAGAGAAGACCAGTTTTAAACAAAGTAGAACTTGACAATGCACAAGGACAAAGTGCTATGGGAGTTCAGATCAAATTACTTTGGGCTGGAACAAGGAAGGGAAGAATCAGGGAGGACTTTATGGAGAGGACATCTAAACTGGAACTACAAAGATAAAAGGTGAATTGAACAGCCAATGCAGGGGGTCAGAAATTGCAAGTAGAAAGAAGGATACAAGCAGAGGCACAGAGGGAGGAAAGAATGCTTAGGGCATGGTGAGTATAATTTAGGTTGGCAGAAGTATAGGGTATATAAAGGGTAGCTGCTGGAGGAAAGGTCGGAAAGGTATACTGGAGTCAAATCATGAAAGACCTTTAACATAAGGTAAAGGAATTTAGACTTTGTTCAGTTGTTACTATACTTTCCTTCTTCAAGTTATTTCATATTTATCTATCTACTTACATGTCCCGTTATGAATCTTTTTCCTCTTTCTTTGATCTCTTTGGAGTACATGTCTGGGATATAGTTCCAAATCGCCTTAAAGAATGGCTATGTCAATTCTCAGCTCCACCAACAGAGCATCATTGTGCCTCTTTTCCCTTAGAACCTCCAACACTTGTCATTTTCAGGAGTACACATGGGAAAAGAACAACAAGAAGGGTAGTGTTGCTGAATCATATATTATACCAAGGGGAGGAAAGTGTAAGAATACTGGGAATGCAGGATGGGGCCATGTTGTGAAGGTCTTCAAGAAACAAACAGAAGATTTTACATTATACCCCGGTAACCATTAGAGTTTATTGAGGTGGGGAGGGAGGTGCCTTGGTCATACATGGTCACACATACAGGAAAATCACTGGTATATGAGTGAAGAATGGATTACAATAGTGAAGGATTTGAGACAGGAAAATCAATCAGAAGGCTACTGCAATAGTCCAAGTTTAAGGTGATGAAGGTCTGTGCCAGTTTGGCAGCTACATGAGTAGAAAGGATATATAAATAACAGCTGATATGAAGGTAGAAACAATAAGATTTGGCAACAGATTGTATTGAATGCCAAGAAGGAGTCAAAAATGATGCCAAAGTTGAGAGCCTGGGTGATTAGTAGGATGGTGGTACCCTTAAGAGTAATAGTGAAGTTGACATAAAGGGGAAGGTTTGGGGTTAAGGTAATGAGTTCTGTTTTGGACATGTTGAGTTTGAGGTGTCTAAGGGATATCTAGTTCAAGATGTCCAAGAGGAGTTGGTGACACAAAACTGGAGTTCAGGAGGGAGGTTAGGGCTAGATAAGTAGATTGAGAGATCATATGTTTAGACATATCTGAACCCATTGGAGCTGAGGGGATCACTAAGTGAGAAAGTATAGAGGGAGGAGAGAAGGGATTCCAGGACAGACCTCTGGGGAGACAATCTGTGATTAGCAGATGCAACCTGGATGAAGATCCAGCAAAGAAACCTGAGAAGAAACAATCAGACAGGTAGGAGAATGATCAGGAGTGAGAAATGTCACAAAAATTTAGAGATGAGAGGGTATATGTGAGAAGGGGGAAACTGATGGTGTCAGAGTCTAAAGAGAGGTGAAGAAGTATAAGGACTGAGAAAATGTCATTCAATTTGATAATCAGGAGATCATTGGTAACCTTAAGAGGAGCAGTTTCAGCTGAATGATGAGGCTAAAAGACAGATCGCAGAGGGTTTAGAACTGAATGAGAAGAAAAGTTTAGGTACCCAGTATATGGATTTCTCACAGAGTTTAACCATGAAGGGGAGGAGAGATATAAAATGGTAGCTACAGGGGATAGTCAGATCAAGTGAAGACTTTTTTTAAGGCCAGAGAAGACATGTACATTTTTGAAAGCAGTAAAGAAGGAGCCAATAGATAGAGAGTGACTGAAGATTAGTAAGAGAGTGAGGATGACAGAATGGGCAATGTGCTAGAGAAAACAAGATGGAGGACGATCTAACATATGTATAGAGGGGTTTACCTTAGCAAGGAGAAGGCCCAACTTTTTCATCTGAGACATGGATGAAGGAGATAGTGAGGGAAGAAATCCAAATGATGTGCAATTTTATAAAAATCAATAGTTTGAATAATTAGGACTGAAGCTGTTTTAATTATACAAAATCATCTCTGGTCTGGGGTTGATTTTGACCTTTGCTCTAATAAGTTAATGGCTTGACAATGCATGAACAAATAATTCAGAAATGACTCCCACATTGGTAACCAGTTATTTACTGCCTTATATGATATAGTCAGTCTTATTTCTTTTGATGGGTTGTGGTATTCATGACAGCCAGTACCTTTCCAAATCTTTTCTCAAATAAAATATTCATAAGATATGAGCAGAATATGAGTAGCTCACAACCTTTGGGATCTTTTATTTCTTATTCCTGAACTGTATTTTCCAATTTTTTTTAACCTATGCCTACCTTTGCATGACATCATCAAGTATTAAAATACATGTTGACTTAGTCTGGAGGATCAAGTTTTTCATACAATTTCTATACCTAAGCTGAAATTACCTTCATGCTGGTCTTCTGGTTTATGCTTATAATAAGTATTTCACAACAAGCTGACCAAGTATCACATGAAAGAATGTTTCTTACAGTCTTTGAACACAGAATGAAACCAACTCATTTATCTGCCTCACCAAGGGCAATCCGTAAGGATCCTTTCATTTAGCTCAAACTTCCTTAGGTCTTCTGGTTTCGTTTATAGCAAGAATGCCAATATCAATATGGTTCTGTTTCTTTAGTAGTATGTTAACTCACTGGACAGTAGACAAGAACC